GGCGGGCAAGCAGGTGGAATGGGCAGGAGAGGGCGGGTTTTGCTGAGGGGCTGTTGCTAGAGCGGGGGCCTTTCCACCCTCGTTGATTGCAGGGGGTGGGTGGGTGGGCGTGAATGGGTAGGTAGCGAATGTTTTGATCGTTGCTGTCAATAGTTTAGATGCGAACATGTAATCGACCGTCCCAGCGCATGGACACACGGACAATCTTACCCGTAACCACCACCACCACCGATCTGGCAACGAAGGACGGAGTCAAATCGTCACGGAGTAGACCTCATTCGTATGAATGAGTGTGAAAATACACAGACAGACAGCCGTGACAGACGACAGCACTGCAAACGCATTCGTCACGCAAGCTGGGGCTACAGAACGGAGACAGAGCAGATCAGCAGCAAAAGAAAAACCACGCTCACATACACACATAGATGTCAAATGGAGGGCAGCAAAGCAAATGCCCTCCCTGCTTCCTCACCGGTGGAGGAGGATATCGATGGCCAATTGGCCAACACTCAAGAATACATACACACAATACGCGCCAAACAAAAGAGCGCCCGCTCAAATCCAAAGCGCCATGGCAACCACACACATGGCGAAAAATAGGGGGGTGGAAAACAATAGAGGCGACAGCCATAAACAATCAATTCGAGCGGATGAGGCGGGTGGCGTGCGGGTCTTCTTTTCTCTCAGTCTGTGTGCGTGCGTGTCTATTTGAGCAGCAGGAGTGCGGCCCCGAGGCGCCTGATCTGCTTCCACTCGAGTGCAAGCCCCTCGCACCAGAACGGCACGCTCAGCAGCACCGAGTAATCGGGCTTCTCAACCGCCTCCCACTTCTCGTATGACCTCTCACCTGACACACACACGAGACGCACTCTCACACACGTGTGTGTGTCTGGGCAGCGGCTGAATATATATGTATCACTCACCCCTTTCTGTGGCGCACTTGACGCAGAGGCACTTGCCAGTGTACATGCAGCCCCACATACGGTCGAACACCTGCAGAATGATGCAGTGGCAGACAGAACAAACGAGGCTCCACTAAGGTGTTTTCGGGTGTTTGTTCCTGGGCGGGCGCCTACCTTGAGGAAGAAGCCGCAGTGGTACGGTTTGTTGTAGATGGACATGGCGTGGTGGCAGTAGTGCTGGAACGCCGTGTTGATCCTGTGGACGCGACGCGCACAAGGACGATACACACACACACACAAAGAGATGATGCAAGCATCGCATCCATGGCTCGGCTCAGCAGCTGCCCTCTCTCTCGTGCATCACCAAGGGTGGTGGGCGTCAGGCCACTTGAGCTCATGACCTGCACACCCACACACGCACACACACAGACATACATGATGAATGTGCCATCCATCCATCCATCCTACCCGAGTGCAGGTAGACGCCGTAGCCGTAGCTGAAGATGCCCATCTGCAGGAACATCAGGTCGATGTTGATAGGCACAAACAACGGAAACAGCAACATCGGCGACGCTCGAACAAACTGATCTGCACACACACACACACACACAGAGAGAGAGAGGGAGAGGGTCACAGAGGCCTGTCACTGCCGGCAGTGCAGTCCGCCCACCCACCCCCCCCCTCACCGAGCATCTCATCAGCAATGACGGCAAATGGCGACGGATTGAAGAACGTGTGGTGGTGCTTGTGGAACCGCCACAAGAACTTGTAGACGTGCGTGGCCCGGTGGTAGTAGAACTCGGTGAAGTCGACAAACAGCCAAAACACCACCTGCACCAGCACCTGGAACCCCCAGCTGTACTGCTGCGCGCCGCAGAACCCCTTGGCCAGCCCCCTGCTGCTGAGCCAGATGGTGATGGCGGGGCAGAGGACGGCCATGACCATCCCCTTGAGGCACTGGATGATCTCCTCCCGCACCTTGCCGGGCGACGGGTAGGCGGGATTCGACTTGTGCCGCCACTGCTCGTAGGTCGGCCGCCAGTAGAGCCAGCAGAACACCACCGAAGACAAACTCATCACGGCCATGGCGCCCAACACTGACACACAGAGTGCATGCCGTCCACCATCGCTCTTCTCTCTGTGTGTGTGCTGTGACTGACGTACCTGTGCATATGCCCCAAATGAGGGGGAACGAGAGGCCCTCAGACACCTCACACAGCACCATTGTCCCAGACACGCAGCAGCAACGCGCCCAGCAGAGCCCTCAGTGTGGTCCTCGTCCGCGTGCGTGGCAAACACAAAATTCGTCGCCCGCTGGTGCCCCGTGACAAAAATGACTCGCGGCAGTGGTCCAGATCCCTTGTTCTGTTCTCCCTTCTCCCTGCGGCCCTCTTGCGAGCTTGGCAGCGGGAGAGAAGACCGGAGCACGAGAGGATATTCTCAACACATCTGAGGCGATTTTGATCCACCGAGGCCCTCCCCGGCTGTAAGTTTCTGACAGATGCCCGACTACGCCGAGTACCGTGATGGGGATGCTGCTTGCGGCAGCGCAGCTGAGGCATCGCGAGGCCTCGATGACGACAAAAATGGCATCGTCCACCCCGTCTCATGGTCAGCACACGAACCGGATGATGTGCATCCTCATTTTTGTCTGGTTCTCAGGTCCTCGTTCTGGCGATTGTCACGAGACGATTTCGGTGCCAAAGTCAGGTGTGTGCCCTCGTGACAGAGATGGGACACCTCATTGTCTGTCTGTCTGTCTGTTTGTCTGTCTGTCTGTGTGTCTGTTGGGCCCATGCCATGCAGGTGGCGTGTGGTGGTGGCGGCTGTCCTCTTCCTGGGCAACATCATCTGCTACGCCGACCGGACTAACATCGGCATAGCCATCCTCAGCTTCCCGATCTCCCCAGACGACACCGGCATCGTGCTGAGCAGCTTCTTCTGGGGCTACATCTGCCTGCAGTACCCGGGCGCTCTGCTGGCTCATGAGTGGGGCCCGAAGGCGACTTTGTTGGCTGCCGTGGTGACGTGGACGTTCTTCGACTTGTTGACGGTGCCGGCGACCTCCGTGGGGCTGTGGGCACTGCTGCTGGCGCGCATTGGTGAGCGAGGAAAGAGTGACGATGTGACGATACAGACGGCCGGAACGGTCGGATAAGTGGTTGGTGTATCTGTGACTGTGCAGGGATGGGGCTGGGTGAGGCGATGACATTCCCCTGCCAACACATATTCTCATCACTGGTCACACACACACACGCACATACCATGGTCAAGTCAGCCCTTTTTCCCTACTCCTGCCTGTCTGCCTGCGATGTGTGTCTGCCAGTGGATCCCCCGGCAAGAGCGCACCACACTCGTGACGCTCATCACCAGCGGGCAGGACACCGGCACCATCCTCGCCCTCACTCTCTCGCCTCACATCGTCCGCCTGTTCGGGTGGCAGTACGTGTTCGTCATCTGGGGGTGCGTGGCGCTCGTGTGGGTGGGGCTGTGCTGCCTCCTCACGGCAGACCGCCCGGAGACCCACAGATGGATGTCATGGTGAGTCTGTCTGTCTGTCT